TATTTTAACACATATTGTGCACCCTGTTACTAAAATGCAAGTGTCAAGGACGTTTATAAAATGTTTGTTTCCAATGACAGTTTCATATTTAAGTTTTATAAAGCAGTTAAAACTAAAAATATTTGAATTTGTTGTTGTTGTTTTACTAGCATACAACAAAGCTCAGACAAGTTTAAGATTTATTGCTTAGCACATTGTTCTGGTTCGCTTTTGGTTACGTAGGCTTGACTCTCGTGCACATCCCATAAATCCTTGCACTAGTGCTGCTTTATGTGTACAATATTTGAAAATGTGTGCATGTAAAAGTGATTCACACTCTAATTATGCCGGTAGACGCGAGTTATTTGACGCGCCTCAAAGCAAAACTGCCATTGATCACGAATTATGCTGCAATTGTCAGCTGCCAAATTTGCCTTACAGACTTTATGCGGGTAGCGCCGTGATCTATTTGTAGCGAGTAACCATTTTTCATGCTTTCCAACGTTCTTTACGTGCAGCATGTGCAACTTTCCGCACACACACACACATAAACGGGCATTAATTGTGCGCCGTCGAAAGAAAGGTAAATAGAACCGTTGTGCCTTTGGCTGCGCGCAAGCACTGATTGCCAGTCGTCAAATTCGTACCGTGGCTGTGTGCCTGGCTGAGAGGCCGTGAGTCAGTCACGTGCCAACACGCGCTCGCTGTGTGTATACTTTAGCTATATAGTATGTATGTTTATATATGCCGAGCTACCTAACTTTGTTTATATGTACAATATATCTGTGCAGTGCATTACCCGACCTGACTTTTGCTTGCCTTTTGTTGATCCCGAGCACACACACACTTGCGCGTTTCCCCGTCGAATTCTCGCAAAAAGAATTTTGGTTTTTTATGTTATATGCTTCTTAAGGGGATGTACTGGCGTGTCCGCGCAATGCATATTTGCGCCCTTGCAGTTTTCTGCTTTTCTTCTCGCTAAATTTTTGCTTTTGTTTACTTTTCTGCTACGCTTGAGAATATTGTGGTTTGTTCTTTATTATTTTTGTTTGAATGAAATATAATTTTTTTTATATATTTTTTAATTTAATTATTATCGTTTTTTGCTTAAAGTAGCACATTTTGGCTCTACTAAAATATTTTTTTTTCTTATTTTCATCTTCCAGAATACATGAAGGAGCGCAAACGCCTCGCCCAAACGCCAAAAAAGGTCTCACCCGCCAAGCGTGCACGCACCAGCTCGGGCAGCAGCAGCTCAGGTCCCAGTCACAGTACGCATGCGTATAGCATTAGCGCGCATTTCTCACTGCAGCGAAGTATACAACGCAATAATTAATGCCGCAAACAACAAATTGCAAATTTTCCAACCTTAAATCTTATATAATTAGTATATAATTAACTATATACCAGCATATATATACATATATAAATAATTAGTATAGTTAACTACATATAAATAGCTATTAATTAAACATAAATGCGTAAATATGTATATACATATATACATATATTTCATAGTGTATATTGAATTGCGTACATTTGTAGACTAGTTTCACCCATTAGTTGTGTAAGTATTTTTTTTTTAATTTTAAATTTTTCTATTAAAAATTTTGTTTTAATTTCTTTAAATTTAATTATTGTTGTAACATTTCAAAATCAAGCCATACAAATTGTAGATTCATTGTTAAGTCAGCGCACGTATGATGCAAAATGTCAAAATGTACGGTTATATTTGAAGCTAACGGGTAACAAAACGGTTTTTTGATCGGTTTTGGTGAAAACTGGCGCTTCAAGTTAATTGTGCTATTTTTTCCAGCAACAAGTTTAAAAATTAAAAAAAAAAATCGAAAAATTTCTTCATATTTAAGCAAAGAAATGCAAATTTCATTGAAATAACTGTTTACTTATGCACATATAGACTACTAAGTTTTGTAAGACGAACAAAAAATCCATAACTAACAACTAAGCTAAATTTGAAAACGAAAATTTATACTGTAAGTTGTACGAAAGTGGCAATAACATTTATAAATTTACAACAAAATTTACAACAAACAAAAAATTGAACAAATCACACTTATACACACCTATACATATATAACATTATGCCAAAATTGTAAACTTAACTAATAATTTAGACCATATAAGCACACATGATCATGAATATGAATTGTAAATAATTTAAGTTACAAAATATTGCATTACACTCTCGGAAATGTCAAATTTCGGCATTCGAATACGAGGCAAAGCAATATTTGACATTTCAAAAACTGTAATGTAAGCAGCAAAATTCTATTTAACTGTTAAAAATCGCGCTCGGGCATTGTTTGGGCATTCGTGCACAAGTTCAACGTAAAATTTACCGTTTTTTGTACCGTTTTGATGAAAACTACGAAAAAGCGCTAACTTTTGCCTCTAAACTGTGCCGCGGCAGCTGTTAAAAATTGAAAAAATTGAAAAGGTTTTTCAAAAACGTCTTCAAGTTGCTGCCAAATTCCAAAATCGCAAATTTTTCAAACATTGCCAGACTCGTGATTTTCAAAAACTTATTAACTTACTTTTTCAAAATCATCTAACTTAGCTATACGCCTTAAACGAAGTACAAATTGTAAAAAATTATTAACTTTCTCGAGTACAAATTCATTTTCGTTCTAAAAAACGCACAACTTTTGGGTATTGTATAATTTGAGTTGTTTGCCAAAAAATGCAAAAAAAAATTAATTTAATTATTATTAATAAAAAAACAACAGAGCTGAAACTCAACACACTTAGAATTCACTGCAGTCGAAATTCAGCATAGTCAAAATTTGTCACAATTAAAATGCATAGTCAAAATCTACACAATTAAAACTCATCACACTTTTATTAATAAAAAATCAACACACTTAAAAATCAACACACTTAGTATTCACTACAGTCAAAATTCAGTACAATCAAAATTCAGCACAATTAAAATTAATAGTAAAAATTCACCACAATCAAAACTCACCACACTTAGAAATCACCACAGTCAAAATTCTGCATAGTCAAAATTTATCACAATTAAAATTCTTAGTCAAAATGATGCACAATTAAAACTCACCACAGTTAAAATTCACCACAGTTAAATTCACCACAGTTAAAATTCACCACAGCCAAAATTCATGTTAGTCAAAGTTCAGAACAATCAAAAATGAAATAATTAAAATTCATTACAACAAATAAAATTCACCACAGTCGAAACTCAACACAACCCAGTGCGCTTAGAAAGGCACCCAGTGTGCACTGCAGTGCGCTTACCATTGCAAAAATAACGCTCGTATACTCGTAACGAACATAAAAGCTGAAAATGCAATTGCAATTGCGCTACTGCTTGTTCTGCTCTTCTTCTTGGAAATACCTTTACAAAAATGCTTGCTGCTTGCTGCCTGTGCATGCTGCTTGTCGCGTGCAATCTCAAAGCGCGATATTTGCTATGTTTTTCCAAAAAGCATTTCATATTACTTAGTCTAAGCGTTGCCATAAGTTTCACAAAATCTCACGCTGCTCCAACAGCCTATTGTTGCTGTTGTATTTTTCATACACCCTCAGAGCTAACTAGTTAGAGCAGCGTCTTGATTTTGCTTGCTATTTTAACAACTATATGAATATTTTAGAGTACATTTGTAAAGCTGGAACCAGTTGATGCGGTTGTCGCGTGCATAAACTCAATGTTTGCGGCATCCGTTCACTTCTTTATTGTACAATTTACACTTTTTTTTATTTTTGTATCAAAGCTAATTAACTATATTAACGGTATTTGTAAGGTATCATAACTATATCTAATATAATACATACATACATAAATACATACAAATATTCAGTGATTACAATAAAAAGTCAAATATAAAAACAAAACAAATGCAAATATAAATAAAAATAATAAAACAAAACGAAATAAAAGTTGTTTTCTATTTTTTTATAAATGGAAACGTCGGAGACCCGATGAAGTATGCATAGAAATTATCTTGATGACGAGCTGAGCCATGGCCGTCTGTCCACCTGTGTATATTTTTCTTCATCTTCACTGCTTACGCGGTTATAGTGATGCTTGGAGATTCTAAGTGTAGCCAGGTCGTTCTCCACCTGGTCTTCGTAACAGAGTGGAGGGCTTCCTCTGCTACCCTCGGCGGGTATTGCCTCGAATACTCTCACAGCTGGAGAATTTTCATCCAATCGGAGGACATGAACTAAGATAAGTGATGTCTCCCCACAACAGTCGTGTCTTTGTCTCATGACCGACCCGGATCTTTATCTGTCCAAGGACTGTCAACTCGGCATCATTCTCATCAGTGACGTGTGAGCCAAGTCGCGAGTGCAACGATTGTTTATTTGCAGACAGGAGATATTTCGTCTTGCCCTCGCTTATTACCAGACCCATTTGTTCGCTTCTTTGTCCAACCTGGAGAAAGCGAATAAGATAATGCTCCACCATATCATCGTCCTCCGCACATGCTCTCCATTCCGCCGAATCTACTTTTCCAATTTTTGACGATGAAGTCTTAAAGGTAGGTTCCCTGTAATAGCCTTTACCATATTACTAAGTTACTTTTCGCCAATAAGTAGTCTAGGATCGAAATTACCGCAAATTAACTTTTTTTTAAAGGAAATATTTGTTTAAAACTCTTTTTTCAAAACAAAACTTATTGTTATTTAAAAAAAAAAAATTATATTATTAATTTTTTATAAAAATTTTGTATGTATTATTTGTTTTAAAAGACCTGACGTGTTCCTTAAGGAGTTTTATGCTTGAAACAACCCTTGAAGTAGCGCAATGGTCTATGACAGCCTAGGAGATTTGTGCTTCCAACTGACCCCGAAGCCCACTTGACAAATTCTGTTATGATTGAAACTATCTTCCGTGTATGGGTTACTATAGATTAAGCTCGCTCCTGTTTCTATTTCCCCCTTTCATCAGTTGGTGAATATGTAGATTTCGCGGTTGGAATTGTGACGCACTGAACCATTATTTCATTCTTCTCTACTGGCAAATTAAAACCATGTTTTTAACTTATCGTGGATCTCTTTTTATCGTTCGCATTACTAATTTAGCCCAAGTTCGTTAAGAAAATCGAGAACGAGTCTGACTTCAATGACCTAAAATAATGAGCAGGCTGCTCTTCTCTTCACTTCTATATGAATTGGCCGATGTCGAGTGTTAATTGATGTTGCTTTCAGAAAACAGCCGGTTACAGCTGTTCCAGGAGGTTAATTCGATACTTTTTCGCTAATGATATGTTAGTATGTAACAGATGACAATTAAGTAGAGCCAATAGACCATGTGGGGTCGTAAACCCCCATTTTGGCAATGGTTCTACTGCAGGAGTTCCATATTCGATAGGCAGTGGAAGCCCTAACCTCAATGTGTTCTTTCCAGCTTAGTTTTTTTCTAAGATAACTCAAAGATATTTGACAGAGGTTGAGAGTGAAAAAGCCCCTTAAAGAGGGTAGTTTGAATTTCAAATTTTTGTCCGAATCTTAACCTTACTTTCTCCAAAAGAATCCGTCTTTTGAAGAACCATCAAATTTTTTCAATGCTGGGTCGATGATTTAAGCAGTTAATTATGTTTACTGGATATTTGAACCTTGTATTTACTAACGGTTTAATAAATTTTGTGTACCGCTGCAAGTCACGCCATTAACTTTCTAAACTTGTAGTGTGATGGGGTTAACGAAGTAGTTAAATTTAGAAAAAGGGCTTCTGCTGCTTCCTCCTAAACAAGCTTCCAGCGGAATGGTTTCTGTGTACTCAAAAAATACCATGAGCTCTACATCATCTAAAGTTTACTATGTTCCTGTGTTATTTTTTGGTTGCTCGAAAAGCTCAACTCAAATATTCTTGTCTGAAAATAGAAATCCATTATTCTTAATTAATAAGAAGATTTGATGATACTTACCGGCTAGAAGGTTCCCTAGTATCTAATAGTTATACATTTGTTGCACACCGCAGTCAATGCTGAGAATATTCGACTCGTCTAATTGTTGTCATATCTCAGATCTCTTATTAGAAACTTTAGTATGATAGAGGTTGAAGAAAAGGATGAAGGTAGTCCCAACTTGAACCGAACATATATTGTAAGACAGGATCTTGCCGGTCAGGCCTACACACAGTTTTTTACCATAGTGGCTAATTACCTTATACATTTGTTAGACACCGCAGTCAATGCTGAGAATATTCGACTCGTCTAATTGTTGACATATCTCAGATCTCTTCTGAAACTTTAGGATAAAAGAGGTTGAAGAAAAGGATAAAGGTAGTCCCAACTTGAACCGAACATATATTGTAAGACAGGATCTTACCGGTCAGGCCTACACATAATTTTTTGCCACCAACTAAATGCCAGCTTCGATTCAGAAGGGCTCTAATGAAACTGCGGAGTTTTCACAGAACCCGACGTGCTTACCTTACTAATCCACAACTGATATGGCGGTTTAAGCTTCGAACATTTGTGTTTTTTTATTTAATTTGCAATTTCTGCAGCGTTTTATTTATTTAAATAATAATTTACTAATAAATTTTCATAAAATAATATTTAAATTAATATTATTACATTGCTTCAAAAATTAATCTTTAGCTTAACGAAACAAAGTCATGTTTCAATTAATCTCTGTATATCTTTAAAGTAAAGAGCGAACATATTGCGGACTAGATTTAGCTACAGGCCATACTGTACGAGTTATCGACGTCGTTGGGTAACTTAAGCACCACCAGAAAATTTGCCGCTGGCCATCGAACCGGTTTTGTTCTCCAATTGGGCCTGTAGCTGGCGTACATGCTCGCCGGTATTGTTATGTCGCTGGAAGAACGCATTAATTGAGCTCATGGAACGGTATTCCAAATTATCGCTCACATTCCAATCGACACTAATGCTCTGATGACGCGTCATCGGATTGCGACACTTATTCGACTCGTTCTCGTTGTACTTCTCCAGCAGATGCAAAAGACAGTCCTTGGTGGTATTGGCCGCCTCTTCAAGATTAACCGCCTGATGAATATTCGGCACACCGATCGGTACATCGCGTGACATTTGATTGATGCGAAATTTGGCACGTCGTACACTCGCCGATTCGTGAGTCTGACGTTGCAATGAGCACTCCTCGTTGCTGGCCATCGTCACTGTTTTCCTTGTCTTCACTGTTGATGTTGTGCTTTTGGCGCTTGATTTGTTGCTTGTGCTATTTATGCTGGATTTCCAGGGTACACCGAAGCTTGGACCGCCATTAGTTAGTTTTGGTGTCTCCTCGATCGATTGCTGTAGACGCATGGAGACTGTGCTGAATTTCGATTTCACGCCATTTGCACTTGTTACACTACTACTGTAGCTTGTTGTTGTATTCGAAGTGTTTGTTGTGGCTGTGTTGCTTGATACCCTCGTGTACTCACTGCTTTCGGTTTTTGCTACTTTATTTTTGCTAGTGGTCGCTGTCTTTTTGGACGTAGCCTCCTTAGATGCTGCGTTCGCTTTTACTTTAGTCGTCTCGCCGTTGGCTTTCGCCTTACTGTGCTTGTTATTATTCGCATCCGCGTCTAACTTGGTCTCACTGCCGAGTTTTGTGTTGATTTCCGCTAACATAAGCAAATGATCGGACAATTTTCGTATTTCATCGGCCAAATTGACGCGTTCACCCGAAGGGCGTCGTCCGATCAAATAACTTGTATCCGAATTGCGTCGATCGAAGGTATGTAGATAGCTCTTCATGCTGCGTTCCTGTTGATTGAGATTTGTACCGCTACCGCCGAACTCTTCACCGAAACCGCGCCGTCCGAGTAGATGCTGCGGTCCATATTGCAGTGGCGGCTGTGGTGTGGGCGTAGTGCTGGTCGGTGTGCATGTAGCACCGCCTGAAGTGGGCGCTAACGAGATGCTGCTGGGGAAGAGTTTCTCGCGCGACTCATTGATCGGTGTGGCTAGTGTGCTCGGACTGTCATTGTCCTGCTCGGCATTGCTGAACACATCATCATCGATGATCGTCTCGATAGACTCGCACGGCGATGGTGAGCAAACTGTGTGACGTGGGTGGAAGAAAAGAGCATAGAAAAGAGAAAGAGAGTTAGAATTAGTTTTGTGACTTACTTTACTTTGTACTTACATACATACAGTTATATGCATGTATTATGTGTGCGGAAGCTAAGCGGTAAGGCCATTGTTTTCGAGTTATTAAATACATAATTTATTTTCAACGACATGCATTAAAGCAACAATTTTTTAAAAATATTTATTCATGCTTGCAAATAATTTTTAGCTTCGAAATTATATAAACTTTTATATCCTGAAAGCGGTTACGTTTGCCACGAACAAGCCTGAAAGAAGCGTCGGAGACCTCTCCTTTGCTTTATATACATTTATATAAATGATAGGCGTGACAAGTTGACTGGACTTAGTCCAGTCCGTAGGTATGTCTGCCTGTCCATCTATTCATCCGTGCGATCGTCCGTCCGTATAAGTACGAAGACCTTGAAAAGCTGGCCGACAAGGGTGATGTTCGAAAATTCTGCCGGACCGGACTGGTGCATACAATTGTTGAATCCCCAGGTTTTCATTTAATGGCTGATGCCCAAAGCATACTGAAATTATGAAGGGAACACATCTCCAACCTGCTGAACGACAGTGAGACCTTATCACCATGAGATGATGTATCCGAGCGGATGTTTCATTGCCCGACCATGAAGAAGTTCGTATAACAATTACCCGTCGGAAGAACAACAAAGCCATGGGCCGATGTTTTGCGGGCCGAGCTTTTCAAATATGGCGGCGAAGAATTGATAAGGAGCATGCATCAGCTTCTTTGTAGAATATGGCCGGACAAAGCTTGCACGACAGTTGGAATTTAAGTGTGCTCTGTCCAATCCAAAAAATGGAAGGCCCCACAATCTGCGCTAACTACGGTGGGATTGGCCTCCTCAACATCGCATATAAGGTGGTATCGAGCGTATTGTGTGAAAGATTAAAGCCCATCGTCAACAAACTGATTGGACCTTATCAGTGTGACTTTAGACCCAAGATATTCACCAAGCGCCAAATCCTGGAAAAGGTCCGTGTAAAAAGGATCGACACACACCAACTTTTCATCAATTTCAAACTGCTTTTGAAGGTACAATCTACGCCGATGATTTTGATTTCATTGGTCTCAATAACGGGCCGTTAGTTCTGCTTTCTCCAGACTAGATAAGGAGGCGAAACAAATGGGTCTGGTAGTGAATGAGCGTAAGGCGAAATATCTTTTGTCATCAAACAAACAGTCATCGCAGTGGGATCGGAAAGGAATAATTTACTATGAGCTGCTCCAGCCTCTTCAAACGATTGATTCTACATTTTCCTGTCAACAACTGATGAGATTAAATCCAGCAATCGAAAAAAGCGGCCAGAACTGATCAACAGAAAGGGCTTCGTCTTCCATCAGACAACGCTAGACCACACACATCTTTGATGAATCGGCAAAAATTGGAAGAGTTTGGCTGGGAAGTTTTGATGCATTCACCATATAGCCCTGACCTTGCGCCATCGGACTACCATTTGTTTTTGTCTATGCAGAATTCCCTTAATGGAGTAAAGTTGGCTTCAATGGAAGCCTGTGAAAATTACTTGTCGCAGTTTTCCTCCGAGAAACCAGAAAAGTTTTGCACTGATGGAGTAATGTCTCTAGCGGAAAAATGACAAAAAGTGGTCGAACAAATTGGTACATATTTGGTTCAATAAAGTTCATTTTAGTAAAAACTAAAATACAGCAAAGGACCAATAAATGATAAAAAAAAAAAATATTCTTCGAAAGGATGAAATGTTTACGTGAAGTGGAAGCATTATTCATCCAATGGATGAAACCGTGATTGAACAACAGATTTATTTAATTAATAAAAAAAAAATAATAAAAAAAATATATATTTTGTTATGTAAGTTATATAAGGTATATGCTTATGCTGTATGAAATTGTATTACTTCGATGAATGATGAATTTCAACAAAATTTTGTGAGCGCTAACGTATTGTAGCCAAAGGAAACGCTTGACAACGCCACTAAAGTGCTAATATGCGATTTATGAACAGTATTCTATATATTGGGATCAGCAAGCGCTTACCTCAATACAAGAGATTCGCCTCCATATGACATAACTGTGATGCTTTATGTATAAATGTGGATATTGCAGTGCTTCGAATTTGTTGTTGTTAAGTATTTGAGTTTAAGTAACATTTGATTTCATTTAGTTGAATAAAAAGATAAAAATTATAATAAGAATGAACGACATTGAAACCCGCTAATTTGACTGAAACTCAACCATTCTTTTGATTTGGTCATGTCCGTCTATGTTTTTGAGATATCGTTCTGAAATTTCGTACACGCCTCTTTCTATCTTAGCAGTTGCTCATTTGTTGTTGCCGCCAATATCAGCTTACCATAGCTTATAGCTACCATACAAACTGACCGACTAAAATTAAGTCTTATATGGAAAACTTTTTTATTTGAGAAAGTATCTCTATGAAATTTGGCACGGATTATTCTCTAACCCAAAGCTATAACTTACAAAGAAAATGTTCAGATCGGATCATCATAGCATATAGCTGCCATACAAACTCATCGTTCAAAATCAAGTCGTTGTATAGGAGCGTATTCTATTTGACAAGATATATTCACGAAATTTCGCATGGATAAGTTTTTAAGATCTTGCTATAATATTTGGAGAAATCATTCAGATCGGACTTGTATAGCATATAGCTACCATACAATCTCACCCATAAAAAACAACTCCTTGTATGGAAAATATTTTTATTTGATAAGATATCTTGACGAAAATTGCCATGTGTAAGTTTTTAAGACAATGCTATAATCGGTGTAGAAATCTTTCAGATCGGACATGTATAGCATATAGCTGTCATACAAACTTACTGATCAAAATCAAGACTTTATATGAAAAACTTTTTTAGTTGCCAAGATATCTTCATGAAATTTGGCTTGGATTATTCTCCAAGACAACTCTATAATCTCCGTGGAAATTGTTTAGATTGGTTCACTATAGCATACAGCTGCCGTACAAATTGATCGGTCAAAATCACAGCCTTATATGAAAACTTTTTTTTTGTCAAGATATCTTCATCAAATTTGGCTTGGATTCTTTTCTTTTTGCAACTCTATAATCTTCGTAGAAATGAATCAAATCGGATCAACATAGCATATAGCTACCATATAAACTCACGGAACAAAATGAAGTCGTTGTATGGAAAACTTTTTTTTCACCGTTTTTTTCTATTTAAAAATTATTCAATTTTGCTTTGTATTATACAATTTTAATGTACGTATATTTCTCTTTCTCTCTTTGGTTGCTTATCACAGTAGGCGAAATTATATTTAATTATATTGTATTTGTATTACTGTTTTATATTAATTATTATATATAATTGTTATAAATGATTAGTCACACTTATGCACTAACAAAGGTAAATAGTTAATAACTGGCATTCATATACGGACATAAATATTATTTTATATTCATAAAAAGTACATACAAACAAATTAGAAGAAAATTTAGTTTTTATAAAAATTTTATAAGAAAGAACAATTTTTGTTTTTGCAAAAGAATCAACACATACAAAAATTCATAAGTGTACGCCAAAATGCAGTAAAAGTCATTTGTATGCAGTTATTAACTGTGTTGTTTTGTTTTTGTTTTACAATTAATTTGTAAAATCTAACACTGCCTGTTAAAAGTCTGTGTACATGTTTGTGCCATATTCTGCGTAAATATTTCTTTTGTATTTCATGCTTATTTGCCAAGTATGAGCTGTTGTTGCTGCCGCTGTCGCAGTCTACGCTGACAGTACTCACCTCGTGACGACGAAATGCTATCTCGCCCGTGTGTCTTATTGAATGATGTCTCGCTGAGCGGCGCAATCACATTGCTCTCCACATCGAACACGTACGGGCTGTTGGGATGTTCCTCCCAACGTTCGATGAAATTCTTTAAATTGTCCTTGGTGGTATCGAGCTCTTTGGTCTGGTAAGAGAGATAGATGTGCGATAAAAAAATATATTAAGTTTTTGATAAAAGAGATTTTTATACATCTTTAAGAATTTTATGCGAAACTTTTGTTGGATTAGTTGAAATACCCAGTCTTCCGGGTTGGTATGGAGACTACTAACAATTTTCAAGAATTACAGGTAAATGAGAAACTTTCAGATGACAGAAATACATTCGTAAATTTTGAAAACTTGTTTATTTTTTCAACGATCGGTAGCTGAACTACACAGTCTTCAGGGTCTGGCGTTCACTCTATTAATTTGACTACGATGATCATAATTTCATCTAGTCATTTTTAGAAGTTCTCAATAATACTTTGTATCCTAGAGTTCATAGCAATGCTAAATTAACCTATAGAACTATGTATAACTGCAATTAAAAACAAGTTTCTCTGATTTGAACTAGTTTTATTCTTAATCAGCAGTTAATAAAATATGTACATATCAAATTTCAAAACAATTGGTCGAGCGTTTCTCGAGTTTGATGAGGCTATTTTATAAAAAGTGTAATACTATCTATATAGTATACTAATACCTAATATGGCAAGTTCCTTGTTTGTGTTCTTTGTATCCTTGAGGTCATCGAAATGCTAAATTAACCAACAGAACTAAAATTGCCATTAAAAACAAGTTTCTCTGATTTGAACTAGTTTTATTCTTAATCAGCAGTTAATAAAATATGTACATATCAAATTTCAAAACAATTGGTCGAGCGTTTCTCGAGTTTGATGAGGCTATTTTATAAAAAGTGTAATACTATCTATATAGTATACTAATACCTAATATGGCAAGTTCCTTGTTTGTGTTCTTTGTATCCTTGAGGTCATCGAAATGCTAAATTAAATAACAGAACTACGATAGCCATTAAAAACAAGTTTTTCTCATTTAAACTAGTTTTATTCCTAATCAGCATTCCATAAAAAATGTACACATCAAATTTGAATAAAATTGGTCGAGTGTTTCTCGAGTTTGATGAGGTTATTTTGGAAAAAAGTGAGTGGTGCTACAATTTTTATCTTTCGGTTCTTTGAACTTGATTGCCAGAATATGAATGATTATTGATGAAAACTGTGGAAAGAACGCGCAGTTGACATGGCAGCTATAGGTACAGGTTAATGAAATTCTGGGGGACCAATGTAACCGAAACCGAAGATTTAGAAGCCAAAAAATTGTTTATAATTAAAGAGAGTTAAGCCTAAGAAATAAAGTTGGCATTGAATATATTAGTCGCCGGTAGCCAATCTTAAAGTTAGGGAGACTTATAGATTATTGGTACACAATCGATACAGAAGGTTTAATATAGTAGCTCAATAAGTTCTATAATAGTAGCAAAAAGTTAATTGAGCGGATTGGCTATTCGTAGTATTATAAGTGATCTTTATATCTGTATCGATGGTAAAAAATGTGTTGGAAATACATATGTCTTCCCATAAAATACAGTTCCAGAATCTAATGTTCAAATCAAAATCATGGAAAACATAAAAGTTTAGGTCAGATAAACTCTCGAATCCTAGAAAGTTCAAAAGATGGGATAAAAATGGGGACAGTTCCAGAACGTAACTTTCAAACCAAAATCATAGAAATCATAAAAGACTAAAGTTATGGAAACAATAAAAGCGTAGGTCAGATAAACCCACAAATATCTTCGAATAATATAAAATTCAAAGGCTTGGTTAGAAATGAAGACAGTTCCAGAATCTATCTTTCAAATCAAAATCGTGGAAATCGTAAAAATCTTAGCCAGATTAACCATCGAATTACCTTCAATCCTTCTTCAGTGGCGTAGTCACCGCTTACGCGATTATAGCCGAGTTAAAGGATATAATAACCTTCTATCCTAGAAAGCTTAAAAGCTTGATTAGAAATGGAGGCAGTTTCAGAATCTATATTCCAAACCATAATAATGGAGATCATAAAAGACTAGATCAAGTAAATAGTCGAAGTAGGGCTTGCTCACTGCTTTGTTGGAATATCGAAGCACTGAGCCTAAGGAAGTCTTGACAGAAAATCAGTCAAGAGTTTCGATAGATCTGGAGATAATTTAGTCGGAAGTACTAAGTACTTAGATTGCAAACTCAAATTCAGCACCCGAACGATTAAGCCGTAAATATATGAATGGAACTGCTAATTCAGTCTAAAGATTCCACCTGCATATTTTCTCTCTTCCGTAATTTGTTATCCCCCCAACATTACAACGTTAATTTGCGGTACTTTGGTGTTAAATTAGCCAGCTCCCTCGCCATATCGTCACTTAGAGTGTGCTCAGAGACAATTTTGAAATCAAAATTGCCTTGAGAAAATTAAAATTCTTTTGCGTAGCTTCACAGTAGCTCAGAGTGGCTGCGAACGTGCGTATATTTTTACTTTTGAGCGAGAATAATGAAATTAAGTAATTAAAAGTCGTGAAAATCTAATTAGTCTTAAAGCAAGGTAGGAATGCACAAATTGCTGCCTGACGAAACCAGCAAAAGTTGGCTACCAAATTTTGAGCAACTAAGCTGCTGATGGAGTTGAGCGTCACTGCGTGAGGGCACAAACGCACGGTTGTGCGGCAACCCGTTTTCTAATCAAAAATTTCACAAAAAACAACACAGACATACTTTCTTGTAATGTCTTGCCATTCTAATGCGCCACAGCGTTGGATTAATTAATTTGGTTGGTTTTGGTAGGTATGGAGACTGCAGTTCGGACGTTACGTCGAGGAAAGTGTTTTGGTTGTAGCATATTTTTTTCGTAATTTTTCACTTACCTCCGCCGTGTTCGTGTCAGCTGGTATTACAATTGCTTCTTTCTCCGCTTTTCCACCTTCCAATTTTGCGGCTGGCTCTGGCTCTGGCTCGCACGTCAGATCTTCTACGTTTTCTTCCTCTTGCGGTGGCACTGGTGAAGGTGTGGCCGCTTTTAATTTTGRTGGCGGTACATTCGAGGGCTTTGGCGCGAGTATTTTCGGCGGTTTGGGCCGCCGCTGCAGCCATTTGTGTTCCAGGCATTGCGCGGCTGTCATGCGGGTCCTGATTGGTGTTTGTAGAGAAGAAGAGAATTTGTAAATTCGTGTTCAAAATAATGATTATTTATTAGGTGGCTGATGAATTTATTAATTATGTGATATTTTTTATATAAACCTGGTAAAACTAAAGTGTCTTAATTTTCTTTACTTTTCATTCGAAATTTCAAATTTTCAGCCTTCGTTAAACTTTTATTTAAGGATGTAAGCTAGTCTGGGAAACATCTCAATTTGACTGTGAGGAAACCAGATGCTGATTTCACTTAATAAATTCTACGAATGATATTAGGATATTGAGATACTGAGAGATCTTGTGGAAGATATATTTAGAAAAAAATTTTGTGAAAGTATTTTTGAGCTATAATTATAAACTTGAAAATAGAGCTTCAAGAGAACTCGCAAATCTGATATAAACAATACTCTCTACTTAGAGTGATTGTATTGTTTTATATAGCTTTAGGTCTGGTTCATCGGAGTTTCACCAAGAAGAGATAATCAAATAAGGTCATAATAACTGTGAAGATAGCAACCTTGAAACACGCTATGAATCAAATGGGCTTTTATATTTTCAAGATATCTCCTTTTGAGCAGAAAACTAAAGTTCTTTTATTCCTCAAATAATTTCGTAAAGAAAATCAGAAATCCACTGGTAGCATCCAGCTCCAAAAGTTTCTATATGACTCCCTAGTATTTCTTAGTTTAGTGCATATAGTTGTTGTGGTACTTACTGCAAATCCTTCACCAGCAGCTTCCCTATAAAATCCAAACATTCTGGTGACACATTACTGAATGACTCATCCTCAAAGTCGTATTTGGCGATTGTCACGTTAGCCATCGTTTCAATATCTGTTTCACCCATAAACGGTGAGAGGCCGGAAATGCTGCGGGAGTATGA